TAACAAGTGCCTTACTACTAGTAACAATGTTCGCTAGTAGTAACAAGGGCCTTACTACTAGTAACAATCTATGAGGTCACTTCCTGACCCTTTCGGGATCCCGGGATCGGCTCGTCGCTCGTCGCTCCCCGGTGTTACATCCAGCGACGGCCTCGGGCAGGGGAGGCTGCCCCGAAGCGGTGCGCGAGGCACAGCGGAAGCGGTTCAAAGCAGATGGCGACCGGCCACTTGACGGAAGGTGGATGGATATGAATTGGACCCTGAAGCTACCCTAGGGTACTTAGTAAGTACCTTCTCAGTTTCGGTACGACTGGACCCTCCAAGCCTACACAACAGTGTCTCTAATCACCTTCTGGGAAGGTACTTGGATCCCTAGGGCCACCCATGGAAAAGCGGATAACCTGCAAGCAAAAGAAGGTGTGGAAAGGTTAACCGTTGAATGACTTTAGTATCTTCCAGGGAAACTGAGGGAGTCATTGAAGGAGAATGATTCTTTAGTCATAGTGGAAGTGGACGTGGATAGTGACGTGGATGGCACGGAAAGGGAAACCATCTTTCAAAGACTGGGGATTGTCCACTGGCTTTTGGTGTGAGTTTTGTTTTTTTTTCCCTCGGCTTCCCGGTATCCCGAACCATGGTTTGCTTTGGAGTCCAAGTGATGGAACCACAGCTCCGGCCCCCAAATTCATCAGGAAAAGAGTTCAAAGTTCTTGGCCGAACTCCAGTTCGATGGTTCCTCGACGGCCTTTTTGGGGTGAACGGAGTACACTGGGCACAAGGCTTGTCACAAGTCTCAGAAGCTCCAGACTTCATCAGATGAACTTCATCTCTGATGTATTCTGGGCCGAGTGTGTGAACGGTCAAAAAACATTCCACTTCGGACAGGCACTCCTACAATGTTTGTACGGAATCTGGACATTCACCTGATGGTTGGTTGTTTGACTTGTTATCATTTGGTATCCATGATTTTCCCAACCAGTTGTTCATTGAATGCTTCTGTGAACATCGTTTCTATTCGGATTTGGAGGACACTGAAGAATCTTGTTGGGCGGTCTAGCTACCAGAAGCATTGCTGCTTTGTCGGGTCCGACCCCTGCCATGGAGGGCCTAAAGCTTCTTAGGGTGAAAGATTGGACAACTAACCCATAGGATAAAGCAGGTCTCAGCTTTGTCATGTCCTTCTGGTCACTTAGATATCTTCAGCTGAGTCACGAAGTGAAGAAAGGCTGGGTTCAAACTTCGACGTCGAAACCACTTGATTGAGGCTTGTGGATGAAGTGATTCGCTTGGATACGCTGCCTGGCAGTTTGTAGTTGCTACAGTACAGCACACTAATAGGATGTTATTGCCTCCGATTGATGCACACTATTTGAAGCTGACCCACTATTTGAAGCTGACCTGTCATTAAAAGATCCTTGAATTGTCCTTCAAGTATCCTACATGACTTCATGACTCTTTTAGCGATGTGTTTGTCAGGTCTCCAGACGTTTGGGGACAGACCCTGCAATTCGCGGCCCGTCCTCTAACTTGGTTAGGGGCTTGGCCAAGTCTGCAACATGATCACATGTTGCGTGCCTTGTTCCTGTATGTTCCTGTCCTGCAGCCTGAACAGCTGTGGGACACCAGGGGCTCCTACCTGACGCTTTCAGAATAATGCATAGTACAAGATGTGAAAGTCGATCCGTTTTTGTAAATTGTGCGTCCCAGCTTGGCGATAGATTATTGGAAGTCGATGCAATGTTGCGTCCCGCTGGTGTTTAACAGATAGAGTCAGATAGACTATGATAGACTTTTTTCAGAAGATGACTTCTCCATGCACATAGTGCACACATGTGCACACTAATTAGAAATCTGAGAAAGCCACCACTAGGTAGCAAACTGGCTGTCGCAAAGCGAGAGCTGTTGAGGTTCTTACTTCAAGTAGAGGAACTGGCATGGTTTCTGGAATTGCGTTGACTTCTGCGGGCTGGTGTATGAGGTGTTCAGCTAATAGATGACCAGAAATTGTAGATCGTCAGCACCAGGTGGTGGATGGTGAATGGGCATCATGCACCACTGAGGTTGTTGAGAGAAGGCCTGACGCGTGCTGGTTCCCAGCCTGGACGCGGGGTCTCTCCCCCGGCTTGGGAGCAACAGCTTAGGTATAGCCAGGAAAAGTGGATCACATGCAAAAGCTTGTCGGGGGGGATTAAATTAGGGACACCACACTAAACATGAACACCTGGAAAGGGAACAACACTGACTACCAAATTCAGCTTGGTCCTGTCAACCAGGTGTACACTGATGCGGATGAACATGTGGAAAGTTTGGTTAATAAGTTTTGTATCTTTCAGGGAAACCGAGGTCGAAGACCACGGTTCATGGATTGTGAGTTCGCACAGTGACCACTGCAAACGGACAGGGGCTTGTCCTTCGATCATCCTCGATCTTACCGTCAAGGGCCTCCCAATGTTCTGGACGGAGTCAAGTATGATTTTGCTGTAGCGATTTTGGTGTTTGTGGGACAAGTGCCCATTCATACATGCCCATACTATGTCTATCTACAATTGCCAGATGACAGCAATGACCCCGAATTGGAGATAGTCAGCACCAAATGAGAGTGCCATACAAGTGCCGATGCCATCCCACAACGATATGACAATGACAATAGGTTGTTCGTCAACACTCTATTCAACACCTGACTGGGTGAGGTCATGTGTTGTTTTGCAGCATGGTGGTTGATATTATGGTGCGTTAATTTTGTGACTGTAAATGATCATATCTAATTAGCTATCTTCTCCTGCTGTGCTGGTCTTCAGCTGTTGTATCTCCATGGTTATTGCACCTGAATCGCACAAACAAGCAGCAGGGAAGAGTCTGGCTACATAAGAAGGCTGTGGAAGCAAAGCTCTGTGATGCACAAGATCCCGTCAGCTAAGAAGCTGCAGACATTTGGGGGGGGCCTATCAGCCAACAAGAGTAGGCCAAAAACTCAGGGTTGAAACCCTGTTTCCTTTATATAGGTCCTTGGGTATATATATATATATCAATATCAAGCAACGGGGGCATCGTCGAAGGACTTGAAAGGCAAAAAAAAACTCTTATTGTTCCTTGCATATCACATGTAGCTTGCACACAAGCTATATCAGTTGTATCCATCATCTACCCACTGGTTTGTAGGTGTGTTGATGGGCGTTTCTCCGCTCAGGCAGTCAAGAGCTTCAATTCCAGTTAAAGACCTTGCAGAAGGACTGGTCTCATTTTTCGAGTCGCTGAACTGGAACTGCCCATTCATGTGGATGGAAAGACCTGCGACGTAGACGTGGCACCTGAACCAAACTACCGTGACCCGACTTCAAGTATCGTAGAAAATGGGACAATGACCCTATTGAAAAAACATATTATACTTGTACTATCTTGTACCCACTTTCCAAGGTACTTTGAGACTCCAGGTATATAAATTCGGGCCTCCAGAAAATTGATTTGAAGCTGGACAGTACTGACACCGGGGGTGTGCCGTTCTTGTTTGAAGTGTTAAACAAACAGTGCTTGACTGGGCTTTGTAACCAAGCACATGGGGTTCCCAATACCGTAGCCATTTTGGCTCAAGTGAAAACATTGGAACTCACGGACGTGAAGTGAAGCGGCAGGCTGTGCAGACATGACTGCCGTGCGGGATGCCTTCGAGACGGCACTCAAGGCGGGGGGCGATCTCATCAAGAAGCCAGTCGTGCACCTCGGGACTGGAGAAGACCTCCAAACGCTGGTAGTGTCCGCAACTCCCGGCACCACCAGAGCCCTGGAAGAGCGGTTTGTCCAGCGGTATCCACTGTCGTGGGTCAAGGAGCACACGTACCACTACGTCGTGTTGTCGAGTGACGATTACGCAGGTGAGGTGTGCGAATTGTTGCGCACCGCTGGGCTGGAGCTCACTGACTCAGTCGTGCGACATGGCTATGGTGACAGTGTCGTCATCAAGAAGCCATACACTGTATCTGGCGTGACTGTTCCACCTGGCAGCTCACTGCAAGTGCACCAGGGCACCTTCAAGGAAGCCAGAAACTCCACAAAGAGGTCCAAAACGGAGGTGGCATTGGGCGAGCTCTGGGTGCCAACGGCCAACACAGCTCTAGGACCCACGATCCTCTTGAAGCGGATCAACGTGGATGTGGACCGCTTTGCAGACATTTACATTGTTGCAAAGAGGACACGCGGAGGAGTCCAGCATCGACTAGTTACGCACTGGGAACACCCAGCACAGGAGGAGGACTCCAGGAGGGAGTTGATGACTGCTGGGCTTGCACTTGCCGCCGACTACGATAAAGAATATGGTGCGGACCTGGTGTCGACGCCCGGGTACACTGAATTCCTGGGCCATCTCGTGATGGCAAATTTTTTTGTGTGCGCCAATCAACCCAGGCATTTTTTCATATTCTTATCCCTGGGCCTATTCAGCGAATGTGCCTACCCTGACGGACTCCATGAAGACAACGAGCGGCATCGCCTTCGCTGACATCCTTTCTGCAGCCGCCAGAGTCGATGTCGAAGCCCTCTCTCTCATCAATTTCGCGTCTGGCATCCACACTGCGCGTGCCAAACATCACCTCGTTGGTGGAAGGAATGCTGTTGCACGCACAGCCGCCCAATTCGTGAAACTGGCTGGGACCCCCATGTACGCTGACGGCACTGCTGAGCTCATGGACTCGATCGAGGCCACCCATTCGAAGGTGCAGACGAGGGCCCTCCTCAATGTGAAGAGGAAGGATGAAACGGCCGATGCGGTCATCAAGTCGGGTCGCGCCATGTTGCATGCGTACCTGCATCTCTATTCGGAGTGCTTAGCTGCATTTGATTACAGCGATCCGGCAGAGCAGCCAGAGCTCAGCATCAGTCCTCTGGGACCGGCCATCAACACTCCTTCCCTTGAGGGTTATGGGCTGGTGAGGCCCAGGGTTGTTTGTGAGTTGCTGCTTGATTTGCATGCTCGTTTGCGCATCAGCATTGATTTTGTTGAAGAACGAAAGCTGCAGGTCAAGCTTGAATCTGGAGTCCTCCAGGGTGGAGGAACTGGGCCCAGCCTTTTCCGTATGGTCTATGATGCTTGCATTGGTCAGTGGAAGGCGGAAACAACTGAGCATGACATCAT